GTTGGCGACTTGGTTTCTAATGCATCTAACGAACGTAGGAGCAGATGATAGCATATAACGATCGTAGAAATGCTGATATATAACGAACGTAGGAATGCTAATAAACAACGATCGTAGAAATGATGATATATAACGAACGTAGGAATGTTAATACACAACGATCGTATAAACGTCCATAAAAAAACGTCCGTAAATAGTTAGCTCGTGTAAAGGAGTGAGAGTGACGACGCCCTTCTTCCACCAGGAGCCAACGTGAACGCCAGCTCCCCCATCATCGGCTCGCCCTTGCACATGGCCTGCAGCGAAGGGATCTCCAACCGCCTGCCGATCCTCAAGCTCCTGCTGGAGAAGGGCGCGAACCCCAATCTGGTGATCATCGGCGACGATGGTTCGCCAATCAAGCCGCCCATTGGGGAGTATCTGTCTTCAAACGAGGAACATGATGTCGAGGTGGTTAACCTGTTCCTCAAGCATGGCGCGGAGGTAAGGGTGGGATTTGTTATTTTGACAGGTTTTAAGAATTCACACTCCTTCAAAAAAATCCTGTTGTTGTTTTACTTCGACAACATATAGACACAATGAAGAATAATAACCCTCTATCACAATGAAAAATACTTGATATCTTTGCATTTTACCGACCTTACAAAGTCAAAACCAACACAAAAAGGTCTTTGACGCCACCGCTCCTCTTGCCCGCGCAGGTCGTGATGCAGAGCCAGAACAGAGACCCTCGTGGCATCCTCAACTGCCTCCCCAACCTAACCAAGACCCCGGATGTTCTCATTTCTCTTCTCGAAGCAGCGCAGCGTTTTGATCTCGCGATTATCAAGCATTCGTCACTGATTGACAATGATCAGCGGAAAATATACCTCAAGGTAATCCGATGGTGAAATCGCTTTGTATTCCAAGGATTCTCGTTTGATATACACTAAACAGCTCTCAGTGGTGAGAGCCAATTAGAAAAAATATATTTATTTGATTGAACTGAGCAAAATCATCTATTGAAACGAAAAAATATAACTAATAAATAAAAAATTATAATGATAATGATAGTAATGATAACAAAAATAATAACAATAATAATAATCAATAAATTTGCCTCTCTCCTCCTCCAGGTTGGCCAGTCCCCCTTGCCCCTCAAGCACCTGGCCAGAATCTTCCTCAGGCAAGAACTGGGGGATAAGATGCCCGTCAGAATCGACGAGCTGGACCTGCCTGCGATCATGAAGAAATACCTTCTGTATGAGATCAGTTAACTGCTTGAGATCTAATACAGTAGCTTAAGTCTTAGTGTAAGAATTGTATTATATAACGTTTCATATATATATAGTATATATATATATATATATATATATATATATATATATATTAATATTATATTATATATAATATATATACATATACATATGATATATTTTGATATATATTTAAGTTTACCGTTATATTTGTGATTTTGTACATATTCAGATAGATTATATAAGTATATTCTGCAGATGCTCCGTCATTCGTATTCGCAGTCAGTCAAGATAAAATATTTCAAGCAATTACTTTGCTAATATAAAACAATATATATATATGGTTATTTGAAAACACTAAAGGCCTACGGTGCTGTAGATTATACATTAAGTGACGTCATTCTTTAACGAGGAAATGGCACTTTACGTTTGATATTTTTTAAAAACAATGTTCCGTTATAGATCTTAATTTAGCCTTTTTTTTCGCTGACTTGTGATATGTTCTTACTGAAACGAAGACTCACTTTTTTGTTTTCTTTTTTTGTGTAAATAGCTTACATAAACACACAGATGCGGCTGGTCGGGAACAGAGAGCCAAAAGAACGAGTTTGTCTCGTTATTAAAGGCTTTGTAAATTAGCTTAGAATTTGGCATATATATTTTTTTCTCTTTTTTCTTCATGATAATTCCTGTCTTAAGTCAGACGATTTGGAATACACGAACAAAAGAACATAAAAACTAAACTAAAAATCCCATCTATAAATCATAGAAGTGATTTGTAGTTTCTGACATGAATCATACTTCTAGATTATTTATAAATCAGGCATATTTTACTGTTCTTGATCGATTTTCTCAACTCGGATAAGACCGCACAAATATCTCATCTGAAAAGTCATATTTTTCCCGTCAATTCTTCGATTTCATGAATTTTAAGTTAGGTGTGTTTATAGAGGCTTATAGTTAGAGTTTTATACTGTGCACATTGCCAGGTAGAATTACGAAATAAGCAGTTCAATTGTACAGTAGATTCTGACTTATTTTTTACATATCAACTTCTTTTTGTATAAATAAGGGGGTTGTTTTGTATTGTCTTATGTAATATTTTTGTATCATATTATTTATGCATTTTTGTACTTTGTTTAATTTTGTATTTTGTTTAATTTTCTATAATCTTATAAAAGAGAGAGATTTGTTTGGTAAACCTGAAGAAACGGTTAAAGGTTAGGTCAAGGTATATTAGTAGAAAAATGTTGATAAATGAGATTCAAGGTTCAAGTCTTAGCTGTTCTTGACCTGACCCTTTCCGTTCTTAGGTCAATGCCTCGGCTAACAATGACATTTGATAAAGCGCACTTGGTCCTCATCAGCAGGGCATTCTAGATTTGCTTATGTGACTAATATATCCCCCACAGATATATTTTATACTCACAATAATGCACATATTATCAATGTATTAACACGCTGCCATTTTTTTCACGCAATTCTCCCAAAACTCCCGCGAATGTCACAGCAAACTCACGATTTTCTTTTCATGTGGTATCATATTTCCTCTCTTTGTTAGGCTATGTAATAGGATTTTGTGCTGCCACCCTGGAGATAAATTTTCTCTTTTCCCTTTGCGAGATGAAATAGAGTCTGCGTCGGTGCTTAATATTCACACTGACCTTCCCTCCTTAGCCTGGTGCTAGGTCTGTCAAGGGAAGGTCAAAGGGACTGTGATGAATAGCGTAGTTTTATACTCATCCTTTTCCTATGGAGGTCTATCCAACACGGCATAGGAACTGTTTGTGCGTCATTGAGACTTCGATGAATGTTATTATTTCAGGTTATTATTTCTAGCAACGACTGAATGGTGAAGTTTCCATGAATGAAAACCCTATTCTTAACAAGCATTGTATTACTAGACAAATATGTGTTTCACAAGCTGCCACCATGGCTTGGATGTTCAAGACGATGTCTCTGGTTAGGAACCAAGAATTAGATGTGATCGTGCGCTTCTCTTGTAATGCTGGTTTGGATATTAAAGATGTTTTAGATAATGATGCTTCTTTGATTTTACATACCTACCTTACAGCGAGAGCTTGTGATGTAAAGAAGGAAGAAATTCCTATGGGTTTTGATGTAAAGTGATAGATTTATACCTAACTTACAGCGAGTGCTTGTGATGCAAAATGGAAGAAATTCCCATGGGTTTGGATGTAAAGTGATAGATTTACTTCATATCAAAGTGATGGTTAAAATGTTAGGGAGAAATTTGATGTTTTATTTTCTGAGATTCACGGAAATTCATCAGAAATGCGACTTGCTTCCTTCTGCCTCCTTTAATTTCATGTATATATTTTTTCAGGTGATATTTGAGTATGGTGAAAATAATGCAGAGAGAATAAGAAATAAAGAGGTTGATAAAGGAACAGCAATATAAAAAGAAAAATATGTCCGCATTTCTAGACAGATAATGGCACAGACGCTACTTTCGTCTTTGGGAATGCCCTTGTAATGATTACTATCTACAGTTTTACAGTATTATAAGTATCTTTACTGTATTAAAGTATTGTCATGGGGATGTCTATTGTGAGTGAGTGACATGATACTATACTGCAGATCCTTAAAAGTGCGTGTTGTGTATATATATATATATATATATATATATATATTATATATATATATATATATATATATATATATATATATATATATATATGACACAGTATTATTTGAATAAAGTTGTAGTTGAGAAGTCCCGTGTAGAATATGAATGGAATGATTTAATCTATCACTAATGATAAAAATTGTGCAAGGCCCAACCCGATAACTTTTCATTATAAGGACATGCATATACTGCCTCGTATAATTTTAAAAAACTGGCCGTATAAAAAAAAAGTTGTTGCCCACTCTTTGGTTCGAGGGGATCTGTGACTGTATATCAATTGACTGTAGATTTATTTTTCTTTAAGAATGAAACGGTTAACTAGAGTTATAGAAGATTTGATATCATTTGTGCATTTGCCAGATGGTAAAGGAATCAGGCTGACGGTAAGACCCATGGCAAAGTAGGTAGAATGCAAGAAGTACAAATTGCAAACATGGACGATCAAAAGATTCTTTTATGTCTCTCTCTCTCTCTCTCTCTCTCTCTCTCTTTCTCCCTCTCTCTCATAAAGATGCATGGGTGGTTTACAATTTTCAACATATTCACAAGCGTACAAAACATACACTTTTTGGCTACCCCCCTCCCCCCTCAGAAAGTATACAAGAAAATGTTGATGTTCACAAGTTACTTTATTCTTGTAGGTAGGCTCGCGCAGTGCTGTTTATTTTCGCAGTAGAAGTCACAATAGGATTTGTATGACTATGATATAGTGCCAGGTAGATTATACAGCATCATTAGAAAACGATCGACATTTTTTTCGGGGGGGGGGGGGCGTACACTAGTTCCTGATCCCCTCCCCCCTCCCCCTAGGGTATGGTTTGTACGCTTGTGAAAAGGTTGAAAATTGTGAGCCACCCCATAGCGGCAACCTGTTTAGTAAATTAATCTTTGCTTTGCTGTTTATTGAAACGTGCATTTCCGAACACCAAAAAATATACAACTTTAGCTCAGACTTTATAAACAAGTTACAAATTAAAGGATACGAAAATTTCTTTGATCTTTTGTAATCGTCTGTTTTACAATTTTATCGGTGAACAAACTTCTACATTGTCATTTTTCCCTCCTCCTCTCGCGATACTTCCAAGCATCTTGGGCGTGGCCTTTCTCTTACTTCA